GTGAAATAAAATGCAGAGACATCAAAATCTATTTCTATTGGAGAAAAACCCCCAACATCTGAAAATTGAGAGAAAATCGTGGCTGCCTGTACCATTTAGTCTGACCTTGATCCAGACCATTTGTCCATGGAGCTCCAGTTCTTCAAGGATTCAGACAAAGGATCTTTGCTGATGTTTGAAATCCTTCTGGCTGGAGATACTATGTCCTTCATCACACTAGAGAAAACAAAATCCACTTAAAATTCAGTTTCTGCTTCCTGCAGAATTCTGGGCTTTGTAGTTTAGTGAGGCTGTTAAAGGCTCCTCCCTAAACTACAAACCCCAGAATTCTGCAGGAGACAGAAACCAAATTTTAAGTGGACTTTTTTCTCTAATGTGATGAGGATATCAGAAGGGAGATAAAGAACTGTTGTTCTTGTCCCCAATAAGAAAAAAGATATCTTGTTACATCAAGACAACTCACTGAGAAACTAATCAGCCATCACAAGGTCTTTCTCATTTGGGAACATTTGTAGAAAAAAAGTTTGAGTAAAGTACTTGATTTTTGTGTGTGTGAAAAAATGGTTTTGTGCAAAAAAAAGGTGCAATTTTGCACAGAAATTAATATAAGACAGGGGTTTGTGCAAAATATTTCTCACACATAAAAAGGGGAAAAAAGTGATAGATGCATAAAACTCCCATAATTTTCTCCAGTAAAGAGAAAACCTTGGACCGTGAGAAGATCCAACCAGTCCATACTTCAGGAAATAAAGCCTGACTGCTCATTGGAAGGAAGGATATTAGAGGCCAAGATTAAATACTTTGGCCACATAATGAGAAGAAAGGAAAGCTTAGAGAAGACAATGATGCTGGGGAAAATGGAAGGAAAAAGGAAGAGGGGTCGACCAAGGGCAAGATGGATGGATGGTATCCTTGAAGTGACTGGATTGACCCTGAAGGAGCTGGGTGTGGTGACGGCTGACAGGGAGCTCTGGCATGGGCAGGTCCATGAGGTCAAGAAGAGTCGGAAGCAACTGAACGAATGAACAAAAAAAGAGAAAACATTTGAAATTATTTCTTCAAGAAAAAAGGAAGGAAGGAAGGAAAGAAGGTGTGCATTCCTCAGTGAATATACATAGGCTGTGCCCTCTATAACTTTTGGCATCAGTTTGATTTCATTTTAATTGTCAGCTAGAGCGATTTGGAAAAGAAGCCACCCTTGAATAAAGACACAGACAAAGGCACAACGGGGTTTTCAGACCTTGAGCATTCAGAGCGATCAGTTGCAGAACTGCGGTGAAGTCAGCATCTGCTGGAAGTTTATCTTCTCTACAGTAAACAGAGCAACTCAAGTGGCAGGATGTAGGGCTGCTACAAATACACATGATTTCACAGTTCTAACATATGGACCCCAGCTTTGCTCTATTGTGGCTGAAGAGGCCCATCAGACTTGACAGAGTCATGGGTGTGCAATTTGGCCCCATTCAGATAATAATACACATGTCACAGTCAACTAGGGATGGATAGGGGAATAGTCTATTTCTTTCCTATATCATTTTCAGATGTGTTTAGTCCTCCATTTCAATTATATGTATTTTCTCCTAAAATGCACAATCTTGTATGCATTTTCTTCTACCATATGCATTTCTGAATGGATCTTTAAGTGAAGAATTTCACCATACTATTGAGAGGCTTGAGCCATCTAAAGGACATCTCAATTGCAACCTGCATTATGTGTGCGGAAAGTGCAAATTAAGCTGATTTGCTTAAAAATGGGGATCAAACAACATTTTCTAAAATACGACCTTTCGGCAATCATTCCAATTTGTGATGCATCACTTAGGACCTTATCCTACTCAAAATTTTCCTGTTTACTTACTGTCTTCATAAGCTAGCAAAACAGAGGCCATCTCGTGATGCACAGCCACTTTTGGTGAATGTGTGTGGAAATCTGTCTTGCCAGCATACACAAATGGAGAGAGGAGTCAATTTTCAGGAGTTGGGTGTTTCCTGACTCCTGTCTGGAGAAAGCAGCAGGAAGTGAATGAAAGTAGGAAGAAGACAGGGAAATGTTGTGGGATGGCTGACCATCCACCAAGATGGATTTTACTGGGGTAAGTCGAGTTCCCACTCTATAAAACGCTTTCCTCCACTCCTCCCCCGGCCCGTACTACATATGCTCCATGCAGAAAATATTATGCATAAATGCATAAAGCTTACTCAGAGTTACATAGTGGAAAGTCGGACATCTAGTTTTTCTGGGTAAATGGACCCAAACTGAAAGACAACCAGCCTGGTGCACTGGTTTGAACGTTGGACTATGGAAAACGGGGTTTAAATCTTTCTTTTGGCCATGCAAACCCACTACATGATCTTAGGCAAATCACACTCTCTCAGAGAAAGACCATGACAAATCTCTTCTAAACAAATCTTGAGACAGAGACAACTGGAAGGTACACAACAACTGAAAACAATCCCAAATCTAGTTGTCTTGAAGTTAGAAACCAAAAATATATATTGTGTTCCTCAAGGCATTTCCTGGCAAACTTCTAAACAATGTTCCTGACACTAGAACAGGTCTCACCCCACAAAGTTTAAAAGAAGATAAACGCTGCAAAGGTAATACTGTTGCTATGAACAGAAAGATAGGTAATTTCTGTCTCCTCACTTCAATTGTTAGGCTCATACTAATAATTATGAACATCCACGTTCCTAATTTAAAATACTTTATATACACTCCAAATGGCCTCAAGTCTCCAGTTTTTGTAGGTTATCTGTCAAGAACCAAGTAAGCTAGATTAAAGGTTTCTCATCCCATCTCCCTAAATAGGGGCTTGTCTGTATTGACAAAATGTTTGGCAGCACATTTCTGTTTGGCACCACATTTTCCCAGTCCACACTGTCCTCACAGTGACCCCATTAACACCACACACAATAAATGTATTGTTGTAAGATTGCCATAACTGGCCAAACATTTCCCTCTGGTGAACTGTTAAAGGGTAATCACATTTCCAATCTTTCACATTATTTTTACCACTCTTCTCCACCCCCAACCCCATCATGCATGTGACTACTGTATATGTATTTTGTGTCAAGCAGTGCTAATACTGATATATTGATATGGAAATATCTGCACGCAAAAATAACGTCACATCCAACCCAGGAAGGAATGATGACCTCCCACCAACCATTCTACCCTCCCACAACTCCACAATGAAATGATGCCAACTGGAGGGCCAGACAGACACCCTGTAAAACTGCAGGGTAAAAGGCAATGTTTTTTGAAGTGTAGTCTAAAGAACTACATTGCAGGTGAATTTTCAAGAACATTGTGCTCAGGTGCCTACGAGGCGACTACATTTTTAGTCCATGTGGACTAAATGAGAAAGAATAATTCCCCTTATTTCATCAAGCCCATTTAGTTGAGCTTTAATGTCCAAACAGGAACATTTGACTGTGAAACTGTGAGTAACTGTGGTTGGTGTTTAATGCATAATGCTTAATGGCATCCCCACAGTCCATCCCTATATCTCGGTTTAATATCTAGATGTTTCACAGCCTTGGACAATTCTGAACTGAAAATCCCAGGCACGAAAGAGGTTGATTAAGAAGATAGGCTCTGTTAGGTAACTGTATTTTTTGTGGAGTTGAAACAATAATTCTACTAAATCGTATCACAATGATCTTGGGAGAATTTTTGTAATGAAAGGGAGCATTGCAAAGTTCTGCCAGTTGCCATTTCTGGATTGGGCAGGTTGATTGGAGGAAAAGGCCCAGTGTCAACTGATCTTTGAGGGTGACTGAGCTGCTAATACATAGTATGTAATCTGGACTGAAAATCTGGCAAAAGCTGTTCCAGTAAATTATCTAACTCTGCAGGAAATTTCTGATTAGCTTGCTCTTCTCCCCTTGGTGCTTCAGCTGTTTCCATAGCAGCTAAATCCTAAGTAAAATGGAGACATCTGGTTCGAACTCAGGTAAAGCTCCCTTGGGCAAAAGAAACCAGCTGGATGACAGCAAAGAAAGAAAACATCCTTTCAGAAAGTGAGCAACTGCAGCAACACCTGAAATTGTCACATTCCAGCTACAGAAAAAGCCCATGAGTAGGAGCCAAGGCCTTGAATGGTCAATTAAAATAGGAAGTGGCAAAAGGAAATAGAGAAAGAATCAAAGTGGAATTCGGTAAGCTGACATAGAAAACAACATAAGTGTCAAGGTGTGAAAGGACTCTGGAAAAATTCCTTTAAAATCCTTCAGATATTTCAACCATGGCCCTCAAATCCACCTTGAATTTTCAGATTCGTCAAACTTCAGCAACAACTCTGGTACCCCTACTAATCCCATCTTTGGATCATGCTTTTTGTACTGTCGTGGCTATTTGGGTTTCCAGTATTCAAACCTTGGTAGCTAATATTTGGGTAATGGTATGCTATTTCCCACACATATGTCTCCTAACATTAGTCACCTTATAGAAGTTAGTGAGTGAATGGCTATGTAATTGTGATTGAGATATATATATGTGTGTGTGAGAGAGAGAGAGAGAGAGTGTGCGCGCGCAGAGAGTAAGAGTGTGACAATGTCCATAAACCCAGGAATGTGTTCATAACAATGCATAGGCATATTAAAAAGACTATGTATTGGGGAAAAATCTAGAAAGTGGTCAACCATGTGTCTAGTGATCTGTCAGACTAGAACAACAGACACAACAGATCCTTCCCTCTATAACTGTCAAGATACAGTAATATTCTAAGCACAGAGGTCTGGTCCTCAAAACATTTGATGCAAATATATTACTGAAGGTAAGCAAGTTCAAATGTGGTCAATGTCTTGATTTGACACCACTTAGAAACCATATGTATGGTATATTGCTTTGGGCCCCATGCGGAAGCAAGACAGAATAAATAGATGAAAACATTAATATTAATATAAAATTCCCAAGTCTATCATGAAGTAATCCAACCATAAATTTGAAATATACTCCTGTACTACTGTGCCTTTTCTCCACATACAAAGCATCTTACCTTTAGGTGAGATGTGTCTCCAAGTGATTGTAGGGTCTGGTCTACCTGTAGCAATGCAGGTGAGACTGACATTGCCACCTTCATTGATGGAAATGTCTGATGAGATCTCAACAATCTTGGGAGGTACTGAAACAACATAAAAGAGATGATGTCCTTTAGTTAGTTAGTTTGGGGATGAGTCCAATATTCATGTTTCTAAAAGCTCTAAGCAGCAAATCACTGTGAGTTTCCCAAGGAAAAGTGAAACCAACCAAAGATGACCAACAAGCAGTAAGTGGATTTGGTTTAGCCCCTCACAACATGTTTACAAACACTTTCAGATATCATAGACCTCCAGAAAGGCGAACAGACACAAAAGGAAATCAATGCCAAAGTCTCAGTAGATGTTAATATGATCAAACTGAAGCTCTCATAGTTGGAACAAGCCTCAAGATGACATGTCTCATTTGAAAAGATGATAATATTTGATAAAGTTGAAGACAGAAGAGAAAGAACCGTTGCAGGCATATAGATTCAGCTAGAAATCCATTACTTTGAGCTTCCAAAATCTAGACAGGGCTGTTATAAAGACAAGGTATCATAAAGACACAGCATCTTTATGATAGGCAATGCATAGGGTCACTGTAAGCTGAAGTTGACTTGACAGCAAATAACAATGTAATAAAAGCAGTCGGAAGTTGTTTTTTTTTTCTGAGACAGACTCCCCTCCTCATTTATTCCTTTTTACCCTGGGTTGTTATATGTAGCTGCATATGAAAAATGGGATAATAATAATGATGATGATGACGACGATAATAATAATAATAATAATAATAATAATAATAATAATAATGCACTTAAACACAGTTGGTGCTGACAAAATTACCATCTGCCAGCTGCAGAAGGCCACCTTACTGGAATCTGCACGCATTATTCACCGATACATCACAGTCCTAGACCCTTGGGAAGTGTCCAACGTGTGATCCAATTCAACAGCCAGCAGAGTAACCTTGTCTGCTGTGGACTCATCGTGTTGTGTTTCAGATGATGATGATGATGATGATGATGATGATAAAGTTTATATCCCGCCCTGTCTCCGAGGGGGACTCAGGGCGGATTCCAACATATAGCAGCAAACATATAATGCCTCCGTAGAACGAACAAGTACCAACATAATAATCCCAGAAAAACCTCACATATGAAAGCAACATTAGAACCTAGCATCAATAAATTAAACCAAACGTAATCAAACAAAACATATATGATAACATAAAATCTGAACATAAAACATCCACATTGATTTACAGAAGCCAACTTTCGTTCACAAATTTGTGTGAGCTAGTTGTGTGGTCAGTGTGGTTGTGTGGCCAGTGATGGTAACTAGGCTAATGTGAACTAGCAGGGCCTGGGTGCTAAACAGTTCTCAACCAGAAGACTGGTAGTGATCTCTCATTGTCTAATCCTCCTCCGCTCCATATGCTATTGAGCAAAAACAAGTCTTCAGTCTCCTCAAGGAGAGGAGGGAGGGGGTCAGCTTTCTTCCTTTAGGGAGGGAGTTCCAGAAGTGTGTGTGTGTGTGGGGGGGGGGGGGGGGGGGGAGACCATGGAGAAGGCCCTCTCTCTCGTTCCCACCAGCTGTACTTGAGATGGTGGGAACGATGGCAGGGCCTCCTCTACTGATTGCAGTGTCTAAACGGGATTTGTAAGAGGAGATGCAATTGGACTTACTCTAAACAACTCAAGTAACCTGGACTTGAGTTGTTTAGTGTTTTAAACCACTTTGTATTTAGCCGGGAAGTGGACAGGCAGTCAGTGGAGCTGCCGTGACATAGGAGTTTATCTCTCCCTGTATGGGACTTCAGTTAGTAATCTAGCTGCCGATCTCTGAACCAGTAGAGGGTTTTGCAGTAGTCTAAGCAGGATGTGACTAAGGCATGGACTACCATGGCCAGATCTGGTGTCCCAATTAATGGGTGCAGATGGTGCATGAGTTTTAATTGTTCGAAGGTGCTCTGGCCACCGCCGACACACTGGAGACTTCATCCCATTGAACATGTCCAGTGTTTCGAAGAGTAGTTTTACCATACAGCTCAGGCATAGTCCATTTTGAAACTGAATGGATTATTTTCCTACTTCCATCACACACTAGCAAAACTATCTGTTTTATTCAGGAGTTCTCAGTTGATTTTCCAACAAATTGTCAAGAATTGCTCCCACCCACTGTCCCTCCCCTGTTTTCTTTGTGAAAAGAAACACCTCCTCTCCTGGACTATGATTTTTGTTCCTGGGTTATAAATGTCATTTTCTAATTGATTCTATCATAAACACATGGGAAAGGTTTATTAAATTGCAAAAATGTTGTCTTTGAAGGAGGGACATTCTGCAATAGCACTTTTTGCTCTAGTTTTTCAATGACTGGATATCTTGTAGAGTCTCCACCAAATTAACAGTTTGTGGGAACAAAAATGGAGTTTCTGGAGCACAACAACTTCTGAAGTAACAACTACACAATTAAACAGGAAATAACACTTGCAAAGTAGGATCATATTTTATTTATTGTTGTTGTTGTTGTTGTTGTTGTTATTATTCAGAGAGAGGATGGACATCTGTTGGGGATGCTTTGATTGAAGGTAAGGGTAGAGCTTTTTTTTTCAAAAGGGCATTTCGGTTCCTCCCAGAAATTGTGTAACTGTATCATGTTAAAACTGAGAACAAGGAATACAATCATATGATAGAATTGGCCATTTTGCCCATTTCTATCCAGATAATTTGCAAAAAAAGTCACTTACCAACCAGTTTAGAAAGCTTCTGGAAGCTTTGCAACTTTTGCAACCCTTTTTAAACTCCAAGATATCTCTACCCTACACTTGAAGCCTACATCATGTGATGAACACAGCTGATTGCCATTTCTTAAGTGGGTGTCTCAGTAGTATTTAATAAATGTGATGAAGTGGTTAGGATGAGATCCTACATCAAAGAGACAGAAATAACTGTATGCTATTAGAGTTCCATGGTCATTACATAACTTGCCTCATAAGTCATTGTTACCAAACCAAATGCACAAGTTCATCTGCATTCATATTCCACACAGTGAATGACACAATGATGCATCCATGCATTTCCATTAGGGCTGGGCAGTTTCGTTTCGTAATTTCGTAACTCATAAAAAATTCGTTATTTTTTTTTATAACGAAGCGATAACGAACCATCCAGGAGCAACTAAAAAACGAAACGAATTTTTAAATTCGTTTCGTAATTGTTTCGAATTCGTTTTGTATTCGTTTCGTTATCGTTTTGAAATCGTTTCGTTATTATTTCCGCATGTCTGGGGCAAGTTTTATAGTTGTTGTTTGTTTAATCAGTGAAAAAAAATTATAAATATCACACCAACAGTCAACAACAGAGGGAGAGGGAAGCTTCAGAAGTTCCCCCTGTCCCATTTGGAGGTTTTTTAGCGTATTGCGCGGTCGCGTCCGCCATTAACGAATCGATTCGTTATTGTTTCGTAATTGTTTCGTATTGTTTTGTAATTTACGAAATTTCGTAAATATCGAACTTTTTAAAAGAAAAATTTCGGAATTCTTTTAAAAATCGAAACGCAAAAACCCCCCAAAAACGAATCGATTTTAGAAACAAATTTTTCCGTGGTTGCCCAGCCCTAATTTCCATGTACAAATATGGAGCTAGGAACATTCCACATCACACTGCTTCTGTACATATCTAAGACACCACACACAGAATTCCAGTTAATATTTTTCTCTCCATTTTCTGCCAGAAAGGGGGAAAAAACCATTTCAAATTAATCCCAGAAGACAGAGAACAACCAAAGTCTTGGAACACCTGTATTAGCAGAGAAAGGATTCCCCTGCTGTGACCTGTCCCCCCATCTGCCCCATCTTCCCTAGACTGCACCCCGACTTGCCCTGTTTCAGCTACTGGTAGAGATGTGAGCTGTTTCAAGGGAGCAGGCCGAGCATAAAGCAACTGCAGTGGCCTTGCATACAATGTTTCTGACGTGCAGATAAGTAATTTATTGATCCGTAAAGCACTCTGAGACGCTCAGGAAGGGATTATGTCATGCCAACGCTGTGCAATAAAATAAAAAATGATGGACTTTTTGTGAACATGAGGGTGATTTAAGGTTTGTAGCTGGAAGTGTAGTTAAAGTACATTTTAAGTGGAAATCAAGGTAGGTAATGAATTACTCTGTGTCCGGAAGGGCTGATGGGAGTTTGGTTTTTTTTCACTTTCTCCTGGCTTCTAATGGTAGAGCTAATATTCAGACTGTACACTAGAGGACAACAGAGGATTAAGCTCAAAGTAGCAGAGTGAGCCCTTGATGCTGGATGGGAGATGCAATTCCAATGCACATTCTGTGCATAGTTGCCCCTATGCAGCTTCAGCCAATGCAGGGCATTGGAATAATGATGTATAGCATTATTGCCCCCATAAAGTATGTACAAACTGTCTGTGCTAATAAAGATGCAACCTAAGAGTGCTTGCATATTACATTTTTATCTCATGGAGCACCCGGTGGTGCAGTGGTTAAACCGCTGAGCTTGTTGACCGAAAGGTCGCAGGTTCAAACCGGGGAGCGGCATGAGCTTCTGCTGTCAGCCCTAGCTTCTGCCAACCTAGCAGTTCGAAAATGTGAGTAAATCAATAGGTACCACTCCGGTGGGAAGGTAACGGCGCTCCATGCAGTCATGCCGGCCACATGACCTTGGAGATGTCTATGGACAATGCCGGCTCTTTGGCTTAGAAATTGAGATGAGCACCACACCCCAGAGTTGGGCATGACTGGACTTAATGTCAGGGGAAAACCTTTACCTTTAACCTATCTCATGAGATTCATTGGGTGGAGAATCGGCCAATACATGTTTAGGGTATAGGACAAACACAAATGGTTGCAGATTGAGAACTGAAGTGGTGAAGGCCATCTGAGAGAGGGAACTTGAGGGACCTTCTTTGTTCTGCAAGTAAACGAGGCAATAGCCAAGAAAAAGCAAAGTTTTTGCATGCTTCAACCACCATCATGAGGACATTCGGTGAATCTAAGCCAACTTGCATTCCATGCATGGAGAAAATGGGATATATATGAAATAAAGCAATACATCAGCACCATGGAGTGGATGAAGGATTAGGGG